GGCTCTAGCTGGGAGTACAGAGGCTCTAGCTGGGAGTACAGTGTGGCTCTAGCAAGTAACAACATCCTTAATGGGAGTACAGTGGCTCTGTAGGAAAAGCACTGAACTGCAAATTACAAAAACTTCTATATGGGGTTGTTCTGAGTCAGGACCAGCTCCCTGGCACACAACAAACACCTGGCTATATATGAGCGGGTACTTTTCCTTCACCTTTTACTAATTTGAAATCACTTTTCCATTCTTGAGCAGAGGAGAACATTCCCCATACGCCAGTGATTCCAATAGATTCAGAGTCTCTGTGGAGACTCTTCTTCCATCTTCATCTGTCCTTCACTCTCCTGCCTCCACAGCACAGGTCCCACACCTTAATGTCATTGTTTGTGAAAATGTTTCCAAAAAATTGAACACTTACATAATTGCCTCAAAATGAGCTGGGACATATTCTCCCCTCCTCTTTATAATTACAAGCTCAATGTACGACTCATAGTGATAGAATTTCCAAGGAGCAACTGGTGAGTTTGAACTACCGACCTTGCGGTCTAGCGCATATTACAGTGCTACACCAAGACTCCAAAAGATAGATATACAGCTGTTTTATACTCTTGTTTTTGTTTAGCTAATTCGTATCTTTGTAGGAATCCATTCGTTTCATCTGAACTGTTGATTTTATTGCCTAAATGTTCATAGTATTTGAATTTTTTAAATGCGTAGTATAGTATTTGTAAACATTTTACTATTCTGCATGTTATAAAGGGGGAGCGGGTGACTCTATATGATAAGCACTGGACTGTGACCCACAAGGTCTGCAGCTGGAGCCTGCCAGCCATTCCTCCGGAGTAAGATGAGGCTTTCTGTTCCCTCAAAGACTTAAAGCCACAGAAGCCCTATACAGGGTCACTATGAGTCAGAACCAACATGATGACACTTAGCAACAAGAATGTTATAATAATGGCGTACTGGGTTTACAGCCTCAAAAACCTTATACAGGATCACTATGAGTCAGAACCTGCCCTACAGCTCACAACAGCATATGTTATAAAACCCACAGCCTTGTCTTGAAAAGTATAACATTCCATTATTTTTGTTTTACATAGATTCTGATAAGTGATAGAACCTTTTAGTTTTAATACTTAACATTTAAATTAACAATGGAATTTAGATTTTGTAAACAAACTTGGTTTCGATTTTTTTTTTTTCTTTTGCTCATTAAAAATGCTTTGTTGTTGTTAAGTGCCATGCTTTAGGGGCAGATTACTTCTCTGAACCTCAATTGCTTCACTTATAAAAATCAGCCTGTCATTGATTGTCACAGGTTTGTTGTGAAAATTGAATGAGATAAAAGAATGCCTATAACTTTGTTTTTCAGTGCCATTGAGTCAGTTCTGACCTGTAGCGACCCTGTAGAGGGTTTCCAAGGAGTGACATGAGCTTCAGCCACCAACCTTGCAGTTCAAACTGATTTTGCAGTCTAGCGCATTAACTCACAGCACCACACTGGGACTCCCTACAACTTAAAAATAGGATTCTGAGCTACCCATCCTTCCTCTTCCTCATTCACCCATCCTTCCTCTTCCTCATTCAGCTCCAGCTGTTCTGACCTCTGGGCTTACACACTTGGGTTTATATAGCTAACTAGCTCAGGATACTTTTCTCTCTAGTTAGACTAAAATTATATTCCTATTCCCCTTCTCAATTATGCAGAATAGCTATCTTATTTAAAGTTGCATTTCATATTAGGAAAACCCCTGGGGTAGTTAATAGTTTTGGGTAGTGGAGCTTACAATCCATTTCTTGCAACAGATCTAATTACCTTAAATATACACTACAAATATGCACAGTAATGAATACCTTTCTTGAAATGCTGGCTTTTCTGGCCCAGCAAGAGAAAGTAACTGGGAATGAAAAGAATATAACTTTATTTTTATGGAAAATACTGTTGAGGTGTTTTGCCCTTAGCTAGCCCTAGGCAACAGTATACACATAGCTGGTTTGAGCATGCCCTCATTCTGCTGCTGTTCTCCTCAGTGGGCCTTCGGAGTGACACTGTGGGAACTCATGACGCTGGGCCAAACACCATACGTGGACATCGACCCCTTTGAGATGGCAGCATACCTGAAAGACGGCTACCGAATAGCTCAGCCAATCAATTGTCCTGATGAACTGTGAGTTTCACTGAGTATGAAGATCTAGCTTTCATTCCAGCTACTCTATTGGAGGAAAACAATGGGTCTTCGTATTTGTACAGTCTAATTTTTTGAAAATTATGGCTATTTTTGCACACGAATTTGATGATTTGTAGACTTGGTTTTTTTTTGAGAAATACGAAGTCAGGTAACTTACTCATTCTTTCATACATGGGACACTAGGACTTCTTCCATTTTGTAGTTGTAGTGCTTAGTCTAATCTGAGAGATATACATACAGTAAGAAAATTGGAGACTATAGAATGAAGACATGGACTTTTGCTTTTGCCATATTAAGGGTATATTATACCAAAACCCCATGGTCGTCAAGTCAGTTCCAACTCAGCAGCAATTCAGTATAGGATTTCGAGGCTGTAAATTTCTACAGGAGCAGAAATCATCATCTTTCTCCTGTGGAACAGCTGGTGGGTTTGAACTGCTAATCTTGCAAAGTCTGCATCTCAAACCCACCAGCTGCTCAGTGAGAGAAAAAAGGAGGCTCTCTGCTCATTACAAAAGATTTAGAGCCTGGAAATCATACACAACATCACTGAGATGGCAGTGGCTTTGGTTTTGATTTTGGTAAGAATGTATTTCGTTATTAACAAATAAAAGAAAACCTGTCTTACTGTCTGCTCACCTTGCCAATTGGTGTCGACTGATATATAAGAATGATTTTTTTGGGGCTAGTACATGGCTAGTTTGCCCATTTAATGGGGCTGGAGGTATGGGAGTGAAGATGCTATTTAAGAGCAACTGCAAGCACTGTAAGGTGGTCTCAGTTCTAGAACCTCCTAGAGACTTCTGCTTCATGATGAGGTAACCACTTTTACTCTGATTTCACTGAAATCCGGTATTCTTAGAACTTTGAAACAGAAGGCTTCTCTCCTGCCAAGTCATTGGCTCTCAGAATTTAAACACAGGACAGTACAGCTAGCTTCTCATTATTTCGATTACCTGTGTTTTAAGTGTATGCTGGACTATGTTTTGATATAGATCTCATGGAGCATTGAAACCACACATATAATCCATATAACTCTAAGTACCAGCAAATAGCTTGCATTTAGACAGAAAAAATAAATGACCAAAAGATCAGGAGTAATATAATCCTTATTAGCCAAATTTTCTGTTTTTCTCACTCCACAGATTTGCTGTGATGGCCTGTTGCTGGGCCTTAGATCCAGAGGAAAGGCCCAAGTTCCAGCAGCTAGTCCAGTGTCTCACAGAATTCCACGCAGCCCTGGGAGCCTACGTCTGACTCTCCTCTCACAGATTTCCACCAGCAGGAGGAAAATGCCTGTCGGAGGTCATTTGAAGCTTGTCAGGGACACTTCGTATATATCACAATGCCAGCAGAAGCTCACTTGTCTTCCAGAACACCGTGCCTTAGGAATGCTTTAGAATCTGAACTTTTTAATACAGACTTAATGTGGAATATTTTCTAGATATCACTTTTATTAGGTTAAACTGAAAAGGTTTTTTGTAATTTTCTTTTATGGTGTTTTTTTGTTTGTTTGTTTTTGTTTTGCCCAAAAGATTTTAAAACATAGTTATTTTGGACTATGGGAACATTGTTACAAAATAAATAAACAGTTTTCAAAATTGTTTAAACACAGATATTCGAAATAGCTACTTTAGTGCCATCTGCTTTTTATCCTTTTGATTTTTTTTTTTTTTTTTTTAACTTCACCTAGGTAATTGTGGGTGATTCACCTTTAAAGTCTGTTTTTTTTTATTTTGCTTTGTTTTCAAGTTTTTATCAGTACTCCTAGAAATGACTTGTCTCCAAAATACATTACTTTTCTTAAGAAAGGAAAAGCAGCATAAAAAAGACACCTGGTTTGCTGAATACAAGAAAAGGCATAATGGAGGAAGGAAACTTACAGAAAAGTGCAAATTACAATGTTAATACTTATTAGGAATGCGAACTGCTCTTTTATGGAAAACAGCTAATTTTTTGTTTTATATTTTAATCACATGAAGTTTTGGTTTCTTAAATTGGAGGAAGTAGTAGCTGGCTATTTTCCATGATCCAGAAGTGGGTTTGGAGCAAGTCAGTGCTAGCCAATGGTAATTTTATTTATTTTTAATCTCTGGAAAAGGAGATAATACAATTCCAGAAAGGAATTTTTTGTGCTTATCCTCAAGACAGGCTTAAGTATAAAATTTGATTAAAACTTTTGAAAAAGGGTTCGTTTTTATACCAGTTTCAAAAATATTGTTCATAATGAACAATTGTTTGTTATATGTGATAAATCTTTGAACATGCAAAAATTACGTTATTTTATTAGCGTTTCAGTTCGTACTTCAAATCCCCAACAGTTACTGTGAACTCTACTCAGCCTCAGGTTCTAATCAAAACTAGGGGTTGTTGATACAGAAGAAATACTGCACCACAAAGTTTTCTCCTGAGCCATTCATTAAGTGAGGCGAATGCTCAGTATTAGTTGTCTATGGTGGGCTGAATGGGCCTTCAGCATAGGTGGTAGGCCTGCACATGTGCATCTCTGCTCTCATCCTCACACGTGTCTAGAGGATGGACTCAACTCTGTAGATCAGCATCTCATCTGGTCCATGGTCTACCTTGAACATGAATTTTCCATGAAACATTTGTTTTTAATACTCTGGATTTATGAGCTACCAGTCAGGCACTGTTTCGTTCTGCTGTGAATAAGGTCACTATGAGTCCGTACCAACTCCATAGCAACTAACAACAACAGGCCCCTTAAATGACTGGCCAAGCATACACACATTTTGAACAGTTTCTAAATTACAGATGTTTTGTTCATGCTTTGCTTTCTTAGAAGATAGTCACTCAAATGTACTTAACACTTACTGTGTATTAAGTGAGTCCTGGTGTGGTGCTGTGGGTTAATGCACCAGACTGCAAAGCTGTTTGAACTGCAAGGTCGGTGGTTCAAGTTCACCAGTCACTCCTTGGAAACCCTATATAGGGTCGCTGTGGGTTAGAACTGACTCAATGGCACTTAACAACAACAACAAATATATTAAGTGAAGTCCTGGTATGGCGCTGAAGGCTAAGCACTAGATTGCAAGGTGTGTTTGAACCACAATGTCAGGAGTTCGAACTCACTAGCCACTCCTCAGAAACCCTATATAGGGTTGTTGTGACTTAGAATCGACTCAGTGGAATTTAGCAACAATAAGATGGATTAAGCATGTGGAATGAATCAGCTCTAGCCTCCCTTAGTACGTTCAAGGAGTTCTTTTTATGTTCAAGTGAGTGCATTGCTCCTATTCAGTATTGTGTTGGAAGTCTTAGCCAGAGCTAGACGGCAAGATAGGGACATTAAAGGCATCCTAATTGGCAAAGAGGAAGTAAAACTCTTACTTGCAGACAATACGATCCTATACGTAGAAAACCCCAAAGACTCAGGAAAAAAAACCCACTAGAAGTCACTGGAAGATTCAGCAAAATGGCAGGGTATACAATCAACATACAAAAATCAGATAGATTCCTCTATACTAATAATGACAGCACTGAAAAAAATTAGGAAAACAATACCATTTACAATAGCCGCCCAAAGGATGAAATATTTAGGAATAAATGTAACCAGAGACACAAAGGACTTATACAAAGTAAACTACAGAACACTACTACAGTAAACCAAAGTAGACTTACAAAACTGGAAGAATATACCATGCTCTTGGATAGGAAGACTTAACATTGCGAAAATGTTAATACTGCCCAAAGCAATCTACACAAACAGAGCAATCCCAATTCCAACGACATTCTTCAAAGAGACAGAAAAACAATTGTATTGCTTACACCACCGACCTTGCAGTTCAAACGGCTTTGTAGGCTAGTGCATTAACCCTCACAGCGCTACACCACTGTAGTCCTGTAGTAAATTTTTAAGTCAGGGAGTGAGAGACTTCCTGTTTTGTTCTTTTCCTTAAGCAGTGCTTTGCTTATCATAGTTTTCTTTCCTTCCCATTTAAAGTTTGTAATTGTTTTCCATCTCTTTAAAGAATGTCATTGGAATTTGGATAGGGATTGCATTATATGTGTAGATTATTCTAAACGCAATGGAAATCTGTTCAGTTGTTTATCAGATAGGGAGTGATATGATTTAGAATTTAAAAGAAAAATTGTGTCAGCTGTTGTGAAGAATATATAAGGATACAAGTTTGGCAGTGATGAAACCTTAAACTGTTGCAGTAGTCCATGAAAGAAAAGGTGGTAGGGAGGCCAGTGTGGCAGGGCAGTGAAGAAGAGAAGATGTATTTCTAAAAGTAACAAAAGGGACCCATTGCATGTTGGGAAATGGGTGGCAAAGAAGAGAAATGATCAAGGATGACTAGTTGCTTTGAGCATCTAGTTGTATGGCGAAACTAAATACTGAAATGGGACAAAACTAGAAGAAAAAAAGATTTTGCTATGGCAGGGGGAATCAGTAATTTGATATAGACTGTGTATGAGAGGTGTCCTGGTATAGCAACGTCAGTGGTTCAAGCTCACCAGCCACTCCTCAGAAACCCAATACAGGGACAGCTCTCAACAACATATATGAGATGCCAGTCATCCAAGTGGAGATTTGTGATAGGTAGATGTCACTTTGGAGCTCAGGAAAGAGGTCTCAGCTGAGCAGCACCTCTTAAATGGAAGTATATAACGGACTATAGAAGAAGGCCCAGCTATGGTACTGGATGAGCTCAGAGTGTAGACAGAGAAGAGGTCCTGGGACTCCAACATACACTTGTCTAGTGAGGGAAGAAAAACTCATTGTAAAAAAGATCGAAAAGCCACTGGAGTAGGAAAAAGCAGTAGCAGCAAATGGGAAAAATCAGGTGTCATGGAAGAAGAGAGTGTTGCAAGATGAAGAGGTGCTTTCGTGGATTTTGATGATGAGATAACTAACAGGGTAGTGAGGACTGGAGGAAGTTGAAGCATGGGTAAACCCTATTATAGTCAGTGCTGCAGAAATTGAAACTGGAGTTGCATCTAAAGTCTGAAGAAGTTTCTTTGGGGTAGAGGTAGGACAGGGAAGGGTACTATTTTTGTTTTCCAGAGGAAAGATACAGTAGCAGAAAATGTTTCACAGACTGATAGGAATGATCCAGTAGAGGGTGAGAAAAATTCTTTAGGGTAAAGGAAACTCTTCTGTGTCATTTTTACCACAAGCATGAAAGCATCTCTGCTCTAACCCTAAGTACCTTTGGTTCAAATATGGTCATGTTTTTATTGGAGGAGAAGAGCAAGGGGGAGAGAGATGGTGTACCAAACTTTAGATGTTCACAGTCTGCAAAAACCTGTTTTTGTTGAGTTGGCCTCTCTAGGACTTCAACCCCTGTTCCTAGCTCCTGGCCATCACCTTCTCTTGCTGGATTGCCTCCTCAGTAGGTACTCCGCTGGCCTCCAGTTTGGGCCCTACTCATTTATCTTCAAGCTGCTGCCAGAAAAATGCTTCCTAAACTTCAACTCCTGCCCCCTGCTTAAAACACTTTAGAGTCCAGAATTTCCAAGTGCACAAAGTCACCAGGCATTGCTCCAGTTGGACCTACTGCCTGTTTCTTTCCCACTCTACCTTATATATAAGGCGCTCTGGTTGCACAGTGGTTACACTTCGAGCTGCCAACCTCATGGTCAGCAGTTAGAAACTACCAGCGGTTCCACGGGAGAAAGATGAGGCGTTCTGTTCCCCCAAAGACTTACAGCCTCGGAAACCCTGTGCAGGGTCACTATGAGTTGGAATTGACTCCACAGTACTTAACAACAACAACCACCTTACATATGGAGTCCTGGGGTGTGGTGCTATAGGATAGGCACTGGATTGCTAACTATAAGGTTGGTAGTTCAAACCCACCAGCCACTGCCTGGAAACCCTATACAGGGTCTCAGTTGAGTCTGAATGATGGCACTTTTCTGAGCACATAGTAGCACTTCCTGTGTCTTTGACTTTTCATATGCTGTTCTTCCTCTTAGAATGACGTGTTCTACTCCATTTTGCCTGGTTGTCCAGAGAAATCCTCTAACACTCTCTCCTCTTTCTCTTCCCCCGCACCACACACTTTGTAGTTGTACTTCAGCCTTGTTCCCTGGGTGAACACTTTGAGGTAAGGCAATACAAAAACAAATACAAAACTTAGAAACAATGATAGATAATTGGAAAACATGGCCCAGTGATAGAAACGCCACTAAAGATTGCATGATAGAAAGTCGCAAGACCAGCAACTCATTCACTACAAATACCTTTCTTTTTAACAACAAAAACTGTGACTATACCACTCATCTGTCAGTTTGTTTTAATGTGGTGACTTTTATGTTGCATTACTCAAATCTGCACAACACCTCTTTAATGTGTTCCATAGCAAAGATGTCAATTTGAGGACTGAATAAGGAAGACCATAGTAAAATTGATGCATTTGGATTATGGTGTTAAAGGAGAGTATTAAAAGTACTGTAGACTACCAAAAGAACAAATTAGTTTGTGTTGGAGGAAGTACAACCAGAATACTCCTTGGAAAT